GGCGGCACAGTGGAAGTTGAGGAGGGAGAGATTTCAAATATGAACAGCAGCAGCAGCAGCAACGGCGACTCTGAAGAGCAGCAGCAGCAGCAGCAGCAGCAGCAGCTGGAGTCAGTGGGGCCGGCGGGCGCGGGCGAAAGCCCGTCGCGGGGCGCCCACAGCAGCAGCACACCAGCAGCAGCAGCAGCAGCAAGTGGTGCTTCAGAAGCAGCAGCAGCCGTGTCTGCTGCTGGGGTGGCTGCGTCTGTTGCCACAGCCGCAGCAGTTTCTGCGGCTGCAGCAACGGAGAGCAGCAGTGCTGCAGCAGCAGTAGCAGACTGCGACGGGGGGCAGGAAGATGCAGCAGCAGCAGCAGCAGCAGAAGATGACGCTGCTGCTGCTGACGCTGCTGCTGAGGAGGACCTTTTTACCCCTGAGGTGGGGCCTGACGAGCTGCTGCTGACGCCGGAAGCAGCAACAGAACCTGCAGCAGCAGCAGCAGCAGCAGCAGCAGGCGGGGGCGGCGGCGAGGCTTCGGGAGGCGGCGACGCAGCAGCAGAGGAGCAGCAGCAGCAAGGGGGTGGTTCTGCTGCTGCTGCTGGCGATGTGATGTACGGCCCGTACTTGCCTGCGTCTGCTGCAGCAGCAGCAGACGGAGCAGCAGCAGCAGCAGAGGCAGCAGCAGCAGCAGGAAGCGGGCTGGGGGCGGACTGCGGGCTAGAGGGCTCGTTGGAAGCGGGTTCGGGGCCCGGGCTGCTGCAGCAGCAGCAGCTGCAGCAGCTGCTGCTGCAGCACGACGAATACGAAGAGGAGCAGCAGCAGCAGCACAACAAAGTTTGGTCTTCTTTAGTTTATGGCTGCCGCTCTGTCAGCTCTTTTAAAAAGTTAAATAAAATCAGCGAAGGCACTTACGGCGCTGTCTTCAGGGCCCTCGACCTCGCCACCCACGAAATCGTAGTGCGCAAGGGTTTAGGGTTTAGGGTTTAGGGTTTAGGGTTTGGGGGGGAGGGTTTAGGGTTTGAGGGTTGGGGGTTTGCAGCTGGCTGGTTCGACAGGCTGGGGGTTGGGGCTCTTTAGGGTTTGAGCAGTTTCCAGGATCTAGGGTTTAGGGTTTAGGGTTTAGGGTTTAGGGTTTAGGGTTTGGGGGTGTGGAGTTGCAGCAGCTGAAGTTTCCATGGCTGCTTCCTCGCCATAACTGAGCCCCTCACTGTGCTGCTGCTGCTGCTGCCTCTGCTGCTGCTGAATCCCGCTGCCGCCGCCGCCCCTGCTGCTGCTGCTGCTGCTGCTGCTGCTGCTGCTGCAGGCGCTGAAGCAGGTGAAGTACCACGCGAAGCTGTGGTCTGAGGGTTTCCCAGTGACCTCTTTGCGGGAAATTTCGATTTTGTTGGAATTGAATCATCCCAACGTTTTGAATGTGCAGCAGGTGGTCGTGGGCAGCGGCCAGCAGCAAGTTTTCATGGTTAGCTGCTGCTGCTGTTGCTGCTGCTGCTGCTGTTGTTGCTGCTGTTGCTGTTGTTGCTGCTGCTGTTGTTGGGGTTTGGTGGTTGCTTCCGCTCGCAGCAGAGCTGCTGCTTCTCACGGGGTGGGGGGGGTTGTCTTGGTAGGGTTTAGGGTGTAGGGTTTAGGGTTTAGGGTTTAGGGTTTTGTACAGGTGATGGAGTACATTGAGCACGAACTCAAAACCCTCATGGATGAAAAGCCGGAGTTCACAACTGCTGAAAGAAAATGTCTTTTGAAACAAGTAAATAAATTACAATAAATAAATAAATAAATAAATAAATAAAATAAATAAATAAATAACTTTTTGATTAGTTTTTATTTATTCGGGAGCAACTAGGGTTTAGGGTTTGCGGCTTTAAACGCTAGAAATGAAATTCAAAATTCTTTTTTGAGTTTTTATTTGCAAGTGTTTTCCTTCTTTTGACACATTTGCATAACAGACCCTTTGGTGCTGCTGCTGCTGCTGCTGCTGCTGCTGCTGCATCGCGGCTTTCGCCGTTGCGCTTCTCCGTTCCTCCTTTCTTTGAATTAATACCAACTAAATACCAAATAAACAACAATAAATAGGAAATAAATAATAATAAATAAATAATAATAAATAAATAATAAAAAATAAATAATGATAAATAAATAATGATAAATAAATAATAAATATATAATTGTCCATTTGTTTTGCTGCTGCAGCTGCTGGAGGCGCTGGCTTACCTGCATGCAAATTTTGTCTTTCACCGCGACGTAAAGCCCAGCAATTTGCTGTACTCCAACAAGGGGGTGGGATTTATTTTTAATTAATTAATTAACTATTTAATTAATTATTTATTTATTATTTATTTATTATTTATTTATTATTTATTGTTTGTTGTTTGTTATTTGCTGCTGGGCGTTTAAACCGCCTCTTGGCTCCCAAAAACAGCAGAGAGGCCGCAAACCCTAAACCCGAAACCCCAAACCCTAAACCCTAAACCCTAATCAGCGTTTGCGGCGGCTGCATTTGGCGCTCCTGCTGCGGCTGCAGCAGCAAGTAGAAACGCCGTTTGCTGCAGCAGCAGCAAAACGTTTTAGGGTTTTTCTCGAGAAGCAGAACTCCTGAAAGGACCATTTTGGGTCCCGTCGGCAGCTTTTGCTGCTGCGCCTCTTGCTGCACCAGTCTCCGCAGAGCAGCAAACCGATTTGCTGCTGCTTGGGCGCCGCAGGTGCTCAAAATGGCCGACTTTGGCATGGCCAGAAAGTTCGGGATTCCCCCAGGACACAAAAAGTACACCAAAGAAGTTGTCACCCTCTGGTACAGACCCCCGGAAATCCTCCTGGGGCAAACCCTCTACAGCGCCAAGTGCGATGTTTGGGCCGTCGGTGAGTGCAGCAGCAGCAGGAGCAGCAGCAGCAGCTGCAGCAGCAGCAGCAGCAGCGGCGCTGCAGCTGCAGCAGCAGTAGTGGGGGATATAGTACTAGCGGTAATGGTAGCAGTGGCAAACTCTCTACAGCACCGAGTGCGTTGTTTGAGCCGTCGGTGAGTGCAGCAGCAGCAGCTGCTGCTGCAGCAGCAGCAGCAGCAGCGGCGCTGCAGCTGCAACAGCAGTAGTAGTACCGGGTGTGGCACCAGTGGTAGTGATAGCAGTAGCAAGCCCTCTACAGCGCCAAGTGCGATGTTTGGGCCGTCGGTGAGTGCAGCAGCAGCAGCAGCAACAGCAGCAGCAGCAGCAGCAGCAGCAGCGCTGCAGCTGCAGAAGTTGTAGTCCTAGTAGCGGGCACAGTACTAGTAGAAGTATTAGTAGCAGGCCCTCTACAGCGCCAAGTGCAATGTCTGGGCCATCAGTGAGCAGCAGCAGCAGCAGCAGAAGCACCAGCAGCACAGCAGCTGCAGCTGCAGCAGCAGCAGCAGTAGTAGGGGGTGTAGTACTAGCAGTAGCAGTACTAGCAGTAGAAGGCCCTCTGCAGCGGCAGGTGCGGTTTGGGCCGTCGGTGAGTGCAGCAGCAGCAGCAGCAGCAGCACACCAGCTGCAGTAGTAGTAGTGGTAGTAGTAGTAGTAGTGACAGCAGCAGCAGCAGCTGCTGCTGCGCTGCAGGAGAGACAGGAGCTGCTGTAGGCTTCGCTGTACGGGCAGTGGGAAAGGAAGCTGCAGCAGCTGCAGCAGCAGCGCAGCTGCAGCAGCAGCGGCTGGAGCTTAGGAGTAGTCCGAGCAGCAACAGCAGCAGCAATAGCTGCTGCTGCAGCTGCAGCAGGGGTGGCAGTGGTAGGATTAGTACGACGAGCAGCAGCAGCAGCAGCAGCAGAAATAGGCGAAGATATGTGCTGCTTGCCTAGTGCAGGAAAAGCTTACGTGCCTGTGAACTCGCAGCGCTGCTTCTGCTGCTGCTGCTGCTGCTGCCGCTGCTGCTGCTGCTCCAGCTTGTGTTAGCATTTACCTTTATATTAGATTTAAAGACCAAGTGAGTGAATGAATTAATTAGTTCAGTCAATTGCTTGAATTCACTTATCTGTTGCGCTGCTGCTGCTG